TTCGAGAAATCTGTCAACCACCTTTACACTGGACTATTCCTCAAGTTCCACGAAGGCTTCCTGATTTTTGACATTGTTTTTAAAAATAGCGGTTTATGAATTTTCACTTTTTCTAGTGTTTACCTCCTCTCTACCCCTCCAGTTTTCAGCTCTGCTGAGTTATTTGCAACATTGGTCTTAATGGTGATGAGGGAGGATGCTAAGGCTTGAAATATGGCTGGTGTCTCAACAGCAGGGAGCCCAGTGTCTTCGGGGCACTGTTGAACAAACAGCAGACTCTCCATCCAGGCTGTTCAGATGGGGGGGTGGTGTAGTTCTCAGAGCCTGGAAGTGGGGTGCTTCATGGAAACCTAGAAGACCATGTCGATGGGGAGACCACATGGCCTGGGAGAGGACAGACACACATGTACTTATCTGGAGAGCCTCATGGAGCAGCCTGGCGCCTGCTGCCCTGGCCCTGTGTTAGCTTTGTGACGTTTACTTTCCTAGTGACAAGGCACTGATACAAGACTCAGAAAGTAGCCAATAGTGAACAAGTCCTCACAGGAATGTGTCAGTTTCAGAGCAGGACAGACGGGTAGGTCTACATGCTAGATGATCTTGTACTTTGATTCCAAACTCCAACCCTATATTCTATTAAAGTTTCTGATTGCCCTCACAGTAGTAGGTAGTGTTAATAACTAGGAAAGAGAGTGTCCATACTCGTTCATGCTTGAGCTTCTCTGGGTGAGAGCCTTGGTTCCTCAGTGGGTCCTCAGCTGTGACCCATCCAAATATTAAGGGAGAGAACACAGAGGTTTTTTTGCCCCCTTCCTTTTAAGACGTGTGTGTGTGTGTGTGTGTGTGTGTGTGTGTGTGTGTGTGTGTGTATGTGTGGGCGCGCGGGGGTGGGGTTTTCTGGAGAGGGGTTTTTTTCTGTGTGTTCGTTCCTTCTGCCCCCCCCCTTTTCAAATGTAGCATAGCCGAAGAACACTTGAAAAATGTGTATTTGTTTTTAACAGAAATGCCCAGGTTTCTTGTTCTCTGATGCCCAGAGCGGGGTGCCGTTGCTCTCTCAGCGTTGTTGGTGGGTCTGTGTCCTTGTCCTGAGTGGAGGAGGTGGGAGGGCTGCTCTCATGAAAGCAGTGCCTGCATCCAGGTCTTCTATTAGGGTGGAAAGGACTCCTGCTCATGGTAGATTCCTGATGGTCTGAGGACACAGAAGCCTGCAGACCCTGCCCTGTGGCCTGCACACTCTGGAGCAGTGAATACATCCCTTCATGGACCTCTGAGGGACCCTAGTCTGGGGACACTGAATCACAATTGTTAATCCTGTGCAGAGTGGTTTGTGAGGAGAGGGACTCTTCATTGTTGTTGGGGAATTCCCCCCATTTGTTCAGATAATACGTGTTTTGTCTGCAGAAGTCGGATAAGCTTGCCCAAGATGTTAATGATGTATTTTAATTCATGGCTCATAATTCTGCAGTGTGACTCTCGAGGCCCTTTCATTGTCTGCAGGAGAACAAGCCCACAGTGTCCTGCAGCCCAGACCGGCAGCTCCCACATGGTGTGTGGGGTGTGCTGGGCTCTGCACCCACCTCATCTCCTGGAGTTCCGGGAACTGCCCAAAGGCACAACAAGCATAGCTCTCTGCCATTTCTGACTCGTCTCCCAGAGTCTTTCCAGGTTAAGCTGTGTTACAGACTGATAGGCTGGTGGGGGCATTGCCCTGCCCCTCTGGCTCCCTGTGGCCTGCGTTCCTGATCATTTCCCCCTGTTCACAGAGGAGGAAGCACACAGCAGGTCCCCACAGAAGGCCTGTGGCTCTGGTAGAAGAGGCTTCAAAAGGACATAGATGCAGTTCACCTGGTTGGGGAGGCCAAAACAGTTAGAGCCCTATAGAGTTAATGCCTGAATTGGAATTGAGCAGGTCTTCCTAGACAGAGCTTTGAGGGCAGCAGACTCTGGCTTCACCTCCAGCAGATCTAACAGAGTTACAATCTCACGTCTCAGAGAGCAGGTCAGATGGAGTCCTAGTCCCCGCACCCCCCCAGCAGGTCAGATGGAGTCCTAGTCCCCCCCAGCAGGTCAGATGGAGTCCTAGTCCCCCTCCAAAACCAGCAGGTCAGATGGAGCCCTGCTCTCCCTGCACCAGCAGGTCAGATGGGGTTCCTTGGCTTTTGGTTTCTTCTGTCCAGACCTTTGTTCTTCCTCTTAATACAGTTTCAGGCTCAGACAAACTGGGAGCAGGGTTGCTTTGGAAATGAGTGGGTATCATGACATATTTAAAAGTTGGCTTCCTCATTCCTTCCTTAGGTTGACATTCTGATAGTGTCAGCTTTGCTAGTTTTGGGGAAAATGGAAACCATGCAGCCTTTGTTCTGTACTGGTTCCATTCACAGGCAGAGCGCTGAGGTGGATTGTATGCCATGAACTTTTTGTAAAAATGTACGCACAAACCCTGGCACAGCTGTATTCAGCTAGTCAGGAAAGTATCATTTAAGATGTCAGAGGAAAACCTCAGGGCTGTCCTGGGTGGACCCTGCTTCCTTGTTCTGCCTGCAGGTTGGCTTTTACTTGTTCTGGGTGGGGAGGGCTTTGTGGCTGGGGTTGGAGGAGGGGTCTACATAGGTCTTGGAACATCCCCACCTCAAAATGGAGAGACCACTGTTCGTTTGAACAGACCCTGAGTATCGCGAAGTTTTCAAATTGTAGATAGGGAAAGATAATTTCCCCAACTGTATTCCTGAGCACCCAGCTTCTTTGTGCTTATGTGGAGGGAGTGATGGTGAGGCGGAAGGGGGCCCAGTACAGGGGTGGGGATGAGGAAGGTTCCAGAGTGTTTCCACTTTCCTGTGCGTCTTGTCCGAGTGGCATGTCTTCATGGATAAATTCCAGTTCCGTGCAAACGGGAGGACTAATGGTACTTACTCACCCACTACTAGATTCAGTGCCTGGGGCGTCTGGGTAAATTTGTAGAGTACCTTCAAATTGTTTATCATACATTTGACCCAGAAGTCTGAGTCACAGCAGCAGTGTTTCTCAAGCGTCACTCGATATGGAGACCATATAAAGTTGGTCTTTATGAAGTGCCCTGGTGTTGAGTATGCTGGCTGTGTGTTGTGGGTACTTCTGGCCCCGGGTGAGGCTTTTTAGCTGTGCGAGTAACCAGGTGTAGGGTAAGTTAAAAGGACCCTGGAAGTGCCCTTTACTGCCTCCTTAGATGCATCTCAGGGCTGTCCCAAACTGCTGCTTTGTCCCTTTGAATTTATTGCACTAAATACTGTTAATGCCAGTGACGGGTGTCATGGACTACTTCACTGACATTTTGTTCATTCATTTGGAAGTCACTCACTGAAAGTCTCGGAGGTGCTGAGCATCTGTACTGAGTGCTGAATGTCACAGCTCATATGCATTAAAATCTAACCCAGCCAAGCATTTATAGGATTCTAAGCTTTACCATCCCTGCATGTTGAAGATGGAGAGATGGACTGAGAAGGAGAGAGGCAGGGATACTTTCCAGGTGGGCTGATGTTCCTTTACAACCTGTTGTCAAGCAGTGCTGCTCATCTGTATGTCAGAGGCTAAGGTGGTAAGGAAGGCTGTACGGCAGACAGTGGGTAGGACAGTTTTACTACTGGGGCCAGGTGCAGGGCACAGGGGTGCAGGTGTGCAGGGGCAGGGGTGCAGACACAGCAGGGATCAGACCTTGTAGACCAGGCTAAGGCGTTCTGTGCTTGTGGCAAGGCTGGAGAGACCTATGAAGTCTCCTTGAGGTTGGTGGCACTGTACCCCGGGGGGATACCTACTAGGGGGTGGGGTGACTCTGTACTGTACTTTACTGTACTGTACTTTGGACAGTCCCTTGCTTGGGGAGTGGTTCATAGTTAGCTGAGCACTGTGCTCTGGGACAGTGTTTTGGTTGGTGGTGGGATTCAGAGTTACCTAGGGAGGTGCATGTGTGAGGCTCAGGGAAGGCCTGTGCTTGTGATGGATAAAGGGGTCAGGGAACCAGCGGTCCTGATGCTGAGAGTTCAGCCACATCGTTTGGAATCTCAGACGTCAGTTCTCACAAGTGAGCATCACTCCATCTGGGCCTGGAAACATCTCTTGGCCCTGCCGGCACATGGCCAGCATGTGGTTTGTGATGGGGTTTGTGTTTTGCTGCACCGTCTGATCTTGGAACACCCTCTATCACCTTTCCTTGCTCAGTTCCTGTCTGTCCCAGCATGCTCAGCTTGCCTAGGACCCGAGTGCTGTGACACACCCTCTTCTTGTGTTTGCCCTAGGTGGGTGCTTGGCAGTGGGGAGCATGTGGTCAGTCTTGGGGTATTGGGAGTGACTCAGTGTCTCACATTGTTCTGTAACTGGCTTGTAGTCCAATTTTACCAGGCTTCCTTTCCCATGGGCATTTGGGGTTTTACTTCACAGTGCTTATTCCCCCTGTCCATAGAATAACCCCAGGTCCATCTGTGACTGATCGACAGTGCAGGGGTGAGTGGGAGTGACGTGTCTGTGCTATGGTGTTGTCGGGCTCCTCATGGAAGGATCTGTAGTTTGCATGGTGCCCAGAAGTTAACTCTATTTCCAGTCTGTGGAGTGTGGTAACTGGGCAGTCTTCACCTAAGGCAGCTGGGTGACATGGAGAATTGGAGAAGTTCCTCTGTGTGGGGTGCTGCAGCCTGATGGTCTCAGATCCAGAGAGAGTCACTTGACCTGCCTATGTCACCTGGGTGACCAAGGTCAGAAGAAACTTGGTGCTGTCGGGCCTGGGCTGTGCTGTTCATGTAATTTTTTTCATACACTTCCTTTCTCTCCATCTCCTGCAGATTTTTTTAATCTAAGACACATTGATATTTTTCTTTCCCCTATTAAAAATGTGATCATTTAACTTTTATAAAAAAGAAGTATATTCTTTAGAAATTATACAAAGCACATTTTTTTGTATTTTGTTTTTTGATTTTTTTCAAGAGAGGGTTTTTCTGTATAGCCCTGTTTGCCCTGGAATCCACCCTGTAGATCAGGCTGGTCTCAAACTCAGAGATCTGCCTGCTTCTGCCTCCCAAGTGCTGGGATCAAAGGCGGGCACCACTGCAAAGCCATTCTGTGTTTATGGGGAAAACTTGCTCACTGAGCAGAAACCCACCGGAAATCTATTTTAAAATGCCAGACAGCCAAAACAATTTGTTACAACCTTGCCTTGTCTAATTCTGAGTTTCAGCCTTGGGAAAAAATTGGTGTATGTTATACAAAAACCCACAAAGTGTTTCATGTGAGCCCTGGTGTCCTCATAGTAGCAGAACACACCACTCTTGTTCCCCTCCTCATGCTTGTGTGGTTCTGGACACCTCCATCACCTTTGTGTAGGTAGCAGGCTAGCATGTATTGGCTGGTTGCTTGCAGGTTGGCATGCTCTGTGGGAGCCCTGGCAAGCCAGAGGGTGCTGACATTCTGGTTAGACCCACTTAGTCACAGGCTACCACATGTGTGTGAGCCACTGCCTGTCAGGTAAGACTGTGATAGGTATATCACTGGAGACTGTCCTAGCCTCTGAGGCCATGGGCTTTAAGGACAGAAGGTTGGTATGGTTGGTTGGACAGTCCTGTTGTTGCTTTATCCAGCCATGAGTTCTGAGATTAGTATCTATGGTCACTTCTGCAAGTGACATTCTTGATTAATAGCCAGAGGAACGAGTACAGGGATCTGTTGGTTTGACCCCTGAGTGACCCTATGAGGATCTGCGGTAGAATTAGTTTTTGACAAGGCCCTGGTCTCCAGCCTGCATAGGAGGAATGATGGCTCAGCCTGTGGTCAGAGTGGCTAGGTATCCATGCATCATTCCACAGATAATGATGTCTGGACTTGATTGTGGGCACTATGCTCTCTTCACTTCTACATGGCTGTTATTTTCTCTTCTGTGCCATTGGTGCTCAGAAATCCTCCCTGCTGGTTCTCCTGGGTTTACTTCAGGGCTGTTTTTTGAGGACCTGGTGGGCAGTAGGAAGAAGGCTGTGCTGCCTATGGCCCAGAGGTCTTGCCCTGAATGAGTACCTGATGGCCTTCATTACAGGCCCTGATGCCACTGGCTAGAGCTGTAAGCTAGTTTTGGAATGGCTAGGTAGAAAATGGAAACTGCTCACCCCTGCAGTCTCTGGGCTGGTGTCCAGCTGTGACTGGGGTGGGAATGGGCATGTGTCAGTGGGCGAGCAGAGCCACACAGAGCCCTTTTTGAAGGCTGTCTGGACACATGTGGCTCTGCCGTGTGTCATTTCCATACATTATCAAGGGTGGGGAGTGCAGGAGATGGTGGGGGGCAGAGGACAAGGCCAGCTGGGCAGTGCTGCCATGGAGGTGGGGATCCACACCACACGTCTGTAGCCGAGGCTGCACAGGCGACCACAGAGGGCATGTGCTTGCAGGCCTTCATGCTGCAAATGTTCACTTTAGTCTAGGTGCCCTGTGGCTATTTTTCTGAGTCTTTTCTAGGGCTCTGGATGGGACTGTTCAATTCTCATAGGTAGCTGAATGGCATTGGGCACCGTCATGAACACATGCCAGCTCACTGGAGTCTGAAAGCCCTTCAGGTACATTCACACCCAAGATTTTGTTTTCTTCCCCACGACTTATCACTGTATGACTCTTTAAATGTGCAAGACTTTTATACCCTATTTGATCCTTAAGTTACACATAAATATTTTTATTTTTCCCATTCAGTATTTTCAGGGGTACGAAATTAATGTCTGGGAAAAGGTAGTACTTCCTAGGTATTGTTTGCCTTGCATATTAAGTCTTTGTAAATAACTGTACAGCCATATAAAACTCCGTGATAATATTGTTTGAATTCCATTGTCATTGAGACATGGTCAGGATCACCTTCTTTAAGAAGCTTATACATTTTACCTTACTTTGGGGCCAGTGAGTTTTGGACCCTGTCCCTGCTGTTTGGCTCGCTAGGCTGTCTGGAGGAGCCAAGAAGGCATGCCTTCCAGAAGGCTGCCCAGCTTGGCCTCTGTATGTTCATTTAGGTGTCCTGGAGACGTGTAGGGGGTGCTGCCTAGCCTGTCCTTTCTGTGTTCATGTAGTTGTCCTAGAGACCTGTAGGGGGCGCTGCTTAGCCTGGCCTGCCTATGTCCATTTAGGTTCCTTCCAGACCTGTAGGGGGTTTCTCCCCTGCATGCTTGGGCATGTGCTGTGACAGCAGGCTCTAGAGGGGAAAGCCCTTCCAACAGACACAACTGCTGTTCTGTGGCAGGCAGCCGGGTCCCAGTCCATCTCATGGCTCTTGCCAGCCCTGGGTGGTCTGGGTTCTCTCCTCAGTTCCATCTGTGTTTTAAGGTCACTCTCAGATTTCTACCTTGTGTATTTGTGACCACGCTGCACTCAGAATCCCCAGTCCCTGAGAGGGTGCCTGGATGATGCCTGCCATATCCAGTGGTCTGCAGTATGTGCTCCCTCTGTTGGTCAATAGTTTCCTTCTTGGCTTTATCTCAGCTTTATCTCAGTTCAGGAGATGTCCAGAGCAGGCAAGGAGCTGGTACCTAAAGCTCTTTGGGAAGAGACCCTGTGTGCTTGGTTTAGTCTAGCATGCTGCTAGACTAAAATGAAAACTAGGCATGTGACTTCTTTGTGTTTTGTAAAATCCAGCAAACGTGGTGTGTGTGTGTGTGTGTGTGTGTGTGTGTGTGTGTGTGTGTGTGTGTGTGTGTGTGTGTGTGTGTGTGATGTCTCAACACCATATCCCCTGATCTGCACTGGACATAGGCACATAGGCTGCCAGGGTTGAGTAGCTGTCATGTAGCTAGTAGGACCCAAGAAGGAACCTGCCTTTCATTCTCTGGTGGGTGGATAGGTGTAGAATTGGAGTGATGATGTGTGAACTTAACAATGGTTGGCACCATCTTTTGGTCATTGTTAGGGCTAGGGTTTGAATTTGACCCAGAAGGACACAGTGAGTCAGGAAGGAGACCACATAGCCATTTGTTTGAAGGGGTCCTTCCTGGAGTTTGGACTCAGTCCTGCAGCTAGCTGCAGCTTGGGGTTCCTTGGGTATCTGGGAGCAAGGAGTCAGGTGGAAGGAAATGGTAGGCTAGGCCAGATAAGTGTGGTGGCATGATCTGTGGCTGCCCTTGTGGCCAAGACATGTATACAGAGCCCAGACAGGGTTGCTGCCACAGAAGGTGTGGTTGCTGTGGCCTTGGGAGTCTGGGTGTTTCTGCATTGTGTCACTGTACGTTCCTAGTGGAGGGCTCACCTCCACAGTGTTGAAACCAGCCAGGCACTTTTAGCTCCTGTCAGCCGTTCACCCCTGAGGCTCAGGGACCGTGGGCTGGATTCAGCCAGACTGCTTCCCATCTGGTTTTACTCTTGATTCTCTGTCCCTTATTGTGCAGAAGCCTGCATTTCTCCATGCTCGCAGAAAAGCCGTTCTGTAGTGTTGCTTAAAGGTGTACTCTTTTGGTTACTTTAGCATGAACTATTAATTTTCATCACAGGGCAAACAGCTCTGGATTCAGGTTGGTTGGTTTTCATGGTGGAGTTTTCAGAATTGACCAAGGCAACACTGTGCACTTGATTCCATAGGATGCTGTATTGACAGGGTTTGTGTCTCTGTTACAGGTGCTTGCTGCCATCTGGCACATCACAGACTATGCACCTACTCATCACAAATACCTCTCTCCCCTCCGGGCAGCAGGAGCCCCTCTGAAAATGGAGAGCTAAGACACGCCCTTAGGCCCTCACGACACAAGACTGTACTGTGACCCACACATCATCGTCCTAATGGATCGCAGCAGAGAGGCTGAGATGGAGCTGAGGAGAGGACCCAGCCCACCCAGGGCTGGCAGGAGCCACGAGGTGGATGGGGACAAGGCTGCGTGCCACAGCTGTTGCATCTGTGGCAAGAGCTTTCCGTTTCAGAGTTCACTGTCACAGCACATGCGCAAGCACACCGGAGAGAAGCCCTACAAGTGTCCCTACTGTGATCACAGGGCTTCTCAGAAGGGCAACCTCAAGATTCACATCCGAAGCCACCGTACAGGGACTTTGATTCAGGGGCATGAGCCTGAGGTAGGCGATGCTCAGCTGGGCGAGATGCGTGTGTCTGAGGGCCTGGATGGGTGTGCCAGCCCTACCAAGAGCACCTCAGCCTGCAACCGCATGCTTAATGGGGCTGTGCCTATGGACAACGGCAAGATCCTGCTCAGGAGCAGCCGCAAGGAGGCAGAGGGGGCCGCTGGTGCCCAGGACGCTGCTGAGGCCATGGCGCAGTGCTCCTTCTGTAAGAGCCGGTTTGAACGCAAGAAGGACCTGGAGCTGCATGTACACCAGGCCCACAAGCCATTTAAGTGCCGGCTATGCAGCTATGTCACCTTGCGGGAGGAATCTCTGCTGAGCCACATCGAGAGGGACCATATTACTGCACAGGTGCCCAATGGCAGCAGCAGCGAGGCCTGTGTGGAGAATGGCAAGCCAGAGCTGAGCCCTGGGGAATTTCCATGTGAGGTGTGTGGCCAGGCCTTCAGCCAGACCTGGTTCTTGAAGGCACACATGAAGAAACACCGGGGCTCCTTTGACCATGGCTGCCACATCTGTGGCCGGAGATTCAAAGAGCCTTGGTTCCTCAAGAACCACATGAAGGCACATGGACCCAAGGCAGGAAACAAGAACAGGCCCAAGAGTGAGATGGACCCCATTGCCACCATTAACAATGTGGTGCAGGAGGAGGTCATCGTCGCCGGCCTGTCCCTCTATGAGGTCTGCACAAAGTGCGGGAACCTGTTTACAAACCTGGACAGCTTGAATGCCCATAACGCCATACACCGCAAAGTTGAAGCCAGCCGGACACGAGCTCTGGCTGAGGAGGGGGACTCAGAGGGTCCCCTTGACACCAAGCAGTTCTTTTTACAGTGCCTGAACCTGACACCATATGTGGCTGGTGACGTGTCCCCCAGTGGGCAGGCTGGACGCCGGGTGGCTGAGTTGGACCCCGTCAACAGCTATCAGGCCTGGCAGCTAGCCACCAGGGGCAAGGTGGCTGAGCCGGCTGAGTACCTCAAGTATGGGACCTGGGATGAAGCGCTGGCCGGGGATGTGGCCTTTGACAAGGACAAGCGTGAATATATACTGGTGAGCCAGGAGAAACGAAAGCGTGAGCAGGATGCCCCTTCCACCCAGGCTCCACCCAGGAAGAGGGCCAGTGTACCTGGAGACCCCATGCTTCCTGGCCACCTTGACCCCCGGCCAGCCTCACGTCCCAACCGCCGGGCTGCGGCTACCACAGGCCAGGGCAAGTCCTCTGAGTGCTTCGAGTGCGGCAAGATCTTCCGCACCTACCACCAGATGGTGCTCCACTCTCGTGTGCACCGCCGTGCACGCCGTGACAGGGATCCTGAAGGGGACAGGGCAGTGCGCGCCCGCTGCGGTTCACTCAGCGAGGGTGATTCAGCTTCCCAGCCAAGCAGTCCTGGCTCAGCCTGCGCCATCGCTGACTCCCCAGGCTCTGGCCTGGCTGAAGAGGTGGTGGATGACAGTGGTGAAGAGGTTGTGCCTGAACCCGCATCAGGTGAGCAGGTGTGCCTGGGTGGATCAGTTTCAAGTAGCTCATGCAGCCCTTCATTCAGCTGGCCTTTTATCAAGGCAGTCTTGCTGGAGAGACTTGCATCCTCAGGTGTGCCTATGTTTTAATGACCTGTGTCCAAGTGGCCATGAATTTGGGCATTCTGCACTTAGTGGTTCTGGAGTTTGCACAGGTGTAACCAATGCCGTCAGTTCCTCCTGTCTCTCCTTTTGCTCCTGACCTATAAATGCTGCACTAATGAGCATGTTTGGTTTCTTGAGTCCATGGTCTCTTCTGGGTGTCTGAAGTCTCTGAGGAGTGACTCCTAGACTCCTCTGAAATGGCTTTCTCTTCACTTCTGTCAGAACAGGGTTCTTGCGATATGACACAAATATACACACACTTGTGCACACTCCACCCCCACACAGAAAGACACCGCATATAAACACCCATACACATACTTGTTCATGTACAAATAAGCACACATGCATATACAAAATAGGCACCTACACCTGTACATGTGTGCACATCACACACATACACACACACACACACACATTCATGGAAACATGCCATAGGGAGTGTGGCCCCCATAGGCTTGTATATTTGAATGCTAAGTCATCAGGGAGTGTGGTTCTATTTGAAAAGGATTACAAGGGGTGGTCTTATTGGAGTGGCTGTGGCCTTGTAGGAGTTATGTCACTGGGGTGGGATTTGAAGTTTCAAAAGGTCATGCCAGGCCCAGTGTCTCTCTCTTTTTCTCTCTTCTTTCTGCCTGTGGATGAAGATGTAAAGCTCTCAGCTCCAGTGGAATGCTTACCTGGATATCACCATGCTTGCTGTTATGATGTAATATATGAAACTCCTTCAATCAAATGCTTTCTTGTATAGGAGTGTCTGTGGTTGTGGTGTCTCTTTACACAGTAGAGCAGTGACTAAGACAGACAGAGTAGAACAGTGACTAAGACAGACACTGCAAACACAAACACACAAGCATGCATATATATACAAGCATGGATGCATGCATATACGTACATATCACACATTCAACATCCACATATACATCCACAAATACATACTTATTCTGCACAAACAAGCACATATGAATATACACAAACATGAACATGTTTGTATCATAGAGCATGGAAGTGCTACACATAGACACCCCAGGCACACACATAAAAGACACATGCATATAGACAAGCATGCATGTGCACACATGTGTATATTACACAAATACAAGGAAGCACAGACACAAAAATGCACATGTATACTTACTTAGGCACAGAGAAGCACACATGCACGAATCACAATGCATGTATGAACACATGATGTGTGGGAATCATAAACACACAACACTTGTTGATGTACAGTTATACATGCTCATATATTTAGCATGCACCACACATGTCATGAGCTTGTTTTTGTACACATACACTCACGCAATATAATGCTCATGTACACACACTTTTCTTTTAATGGCAGACATCTCTGTGTAGTTATAATTAATCTCCTCGGATTCAGGTAACCCTGTGGGCTTAGAGACTGTTAATTAGAACAGATTTCCTTTTAAATAGCAGCCATGAAAATGTTTCCAGATCCCTGGCTTGACATTTTCATAATTTTCCCATTTTTAAAATAAGTTTTAAGCATTTTGGTGTTGCCTTTGTTTCTTTGCTCACGAGTTGCCGTGAGGAAAAGTCGATTCTTGAGGTGCGGAACCTGTGATTAGACATACCCAGGGTGCCCTGTGGTCTTACAGCTGGTGGAAACTGTTGCTGTTACTTGAAGTTGGGCACTAATAGTCAGAGGAGCCCATCGCAGGGCTGTTGGGTCTGCAACAAGGAAGAGGGCCTGTGTGCTCTCCTTAAAGATGAGCAGAAACAGGCTATGTTTCCTCACTCGGGGCTCAGTTGAGTCTAGTTATTATTAGATTTATATAGTGTGCTACTTGCCTGGCCTCTGGGAATCCTATATGGAGACTGAGCAGCTGCAGGGACTGGTGAACCAGGACAGCATGCTGCCTGTCAGTCTTACCATTCCTGGAGCTGATCACTCATCTTGGGTGGGGTAGGGCAGCAGGTGCTTGGGGAGAGGGGAGGGCTCACTGTTGAAGCCCTTCTGCATTTCACTAGCAGCTTAAGGTGCAAAGTATGGTAAGATGAAGTGGCCCCCGGTTGACCTTTTAAAACTTTAGCCCCCTCCCCTTTATTTTGTATACTTAGGTACTTTACTGGCGGTGTTTTGGTAACACCGACTGTTTCATTATGTGCATGTTGGGTAAAATATTAGGGAAGCTCTGTATCTTTTTTCCACTCTTTTGGAAAAGAATTGTTTTTGTAGTAATAGGGATTCGAACCTATGGCCTTGTGTGTGAGGTGAGCACTCTCCCAGTGAGTGACATTGCCAGCATCTTTACTTTTTGAGACAAGATCTCCCTGAGGTGTGGAGGCGAGCTTTGAACTCACTATGTACCTGAGCTGGCCTTAAACTCCTTAGCCTCCTGAATAGCTGAGGTTGTAGGTTTTTATCCAGGTCCAGCAGAGAGGGAAGATTCTGACTCTAACCCCCATTTGCTGGGAGGAAGTGTGCTGTGGCCCCTTCAGAACCAAGATGAACTTTGCTTTTAAAACATTAAAAAAGCCAAACACTTAAGACATTATCAGCGTGTGCCTGCTTGTCTGTATGTACACCAGGCTCCAGAGTCCAGGAGAAGCTGTTAGAGTTATGAGTGGCCATGAGCTTTTAGGATGCTAAGGGCCAAGCTCTTGTCCTTTGTAAGAATAGCATGTGCTCCTAAAGGCTGAGCCCCCTCTGGAGCTCCCCTTAAAACATTTACAAAGTATCGGAGACCACTGCTTCCTTTACACAAGATGTTGAGAATTTTCTCTAGGAAAGTGAGACAGTGTCTCATGCTGACCCTGAACTTACTGTGTAAATGGGAATGAGTCTGAGCTCTTAATTCCCCTGCCTTCATCTGCCCAGTGCTAGGAGGGCATGCACCACCATAGCAGGTTTGTGTGTTACTGGGTATCGAACTCCAAGGGTTTGTGCATGTCAGGCAAACAGTACCACTGCACCACATATGCAACCAAATCTCTTAGTAAAGAAAAATATCTGTCATCCATCTGTCTGTCTGTCTATCTATCTTCTCTATCATCTGTCTATCTATAGGTAAATATAGATATGTATATTTTCATGTTATCCTATACACACTTTGTTTTTAAATTTAACTATGGGAACAGAGATGAGGTTGCAACTTAGTAAGAAAGGAAGAGATTTGTGTCACCGTTACTGTGGGAGCATAACAGTGTGTTGCAGAGTCTTGTGGATCTGCTGACATCACTTCTGGTGATCCCAAGGACAGTATCTTCCCACCTGGATGCCCAGGCTTTCTGATCATAGTAGCATCCAGTGTGTAACATTAGCACTGAGCGATGGGGTCTTGGCTGTTCCTGAAGGAGACAGGCCTGTCACTTGGCCATATCATGTGATTACTCTCACCCTGTTTGGAAAGGTCTGCTGAGGCTTTTGGATCAGCTGTTTCTGATAAGAAATATTGGAGTGCTGGGATCTGCCTGGTGCCCCTTTTTGCTCTCTTTCCTTCAGATATGCAGAGAGCTTTGGAACATGCTTGCCTACCTTGCTATTAAGGTAGTCTTTAAATAAGGTATTTTATTATGTTCCCATTAGACATGGATGGAATGTCCACGTACAACTAACTGTTGGAGCAACTTTTCAGAAATCACTGATGCAGAGAATGACACTCTTTTATGCAGAGAATGACACAGCTGTGTTGAAGGTGACACTCAGATCTCTGCTGATTCCGTGAAATAACCATGTGTGCTGTGATTTTACCTGAGTAGCAAGCAGTTTTGACATCCGGGAGTTTATGTGGGTGCTGTTTTTGGGATCTGCCTGTAGGGGGCTGTATTGCTCATTCTGAACATGAGCTGGGCCAGGCAGGAATCATCTCTGACACATGTATCAGTGTGACATTGAGAATAAGAGTGATGGATAGCTTCTGAGCTGGAGTTGCTGGTATGTAATTAAGTATATGAAACCCCAACATTTATGCACACAAGAACAGCCAGGAGTTCAGAAAACCAACACTTTGGATATAGACCTCAAAGTCAGTAGGTTAGAAGGACACTGTCTAGAGTCTGTTTAAATGATGAGTGACTGGCACTGCAAGAGAGTTACAAAGGCCATCTCTTTGGGTGCATCTGGAGTTTGGCCCTCTTGACCTGTAGTCCCTGAGCTGGGCCTGCATGGACCAGTGTGGGTGGTCACAGGTATTCAACATGCTTTTCCTGTGAAGCAGTTATGATCCTGCTCTGACGTTTACGTATTACTACATTAGAACTAACTTGACTACCCTAGTCTTTGTCCACTTTCGTCCTGTTGGACCCGTGTATGGCACCTGCCTGGATCACCTGTCTTTGTATTGTCATTGGATCGTCACAGGGTTGGATATGTGCTGAGTGTGGAGTTTAGTTAGTTAGAAATAGACAGTTGAAAACTCTCCTATAAAGTTCTTATTTGATACTAAAATGCAGCCGTGTTCTCCCCTGCCCCTGGGTACCGTCCACCCCTACCAGTTTATGCAGACTGGGCTTATACATGCTTAAGCCACTGCCTCTGGCTTTCCTGTGGAGCCCTGAACTTACGCTGTCAGGCTTGCATGGCTAGTGCATCACCCACTGATTGGTTTCCCAGCCTGCAGCCCCATTCTTTAACTGCTGTTCCTGGTTGCATCAGGAGAATGCCTGATGATGGCCTGCCCTCACAGCGATTGGCTTAGACCTTTGGGAGGAGCCTAAAGCCTGTTCCTGTCAGGTAGATTCATCTCTTGGATGGGGCCACCTGCTGCAGAGACATTGTAGAGCCTGCATGTGCACTTTGTCCCTTGATGTCATGTGTTATTCAGAGAAGCTCCTTCATCTCCATCAGAGCCCAGGGCAAGCCCTCCTGAGCCCACTGGAGCTAAGGGCACAGGGACAAGG